GAACAAAGCGCCTTGACAAAGGAATTAGCCTATAATTTAGCATTGAAATGGCTGAATGATTAGCTTGTGACTGGTCACAGAAATAGCTATATTAAAAGTTAAAGCATACACATCCGCAGAGGCACCCATTGTTAAAGGAATTAGCATAGAATTTAGCATTGAAATAGCTAAGTTAAGGCATACACATCCGCAGAGGCACCCCATGACAATGGAATTAGCATAGAATTTAGCATTGAAATAGCTGAGTGATTAGCTTGTAACTGCTCACAGAAATAGCTACGTTAAAGTCAGAGCATACACATTCACCGAGGCACTTAGTACAAATCAAACAGGAGAATTTAGCATTGAAATAAACTAGGCGAATTTAGCATTGAAATAACTGAGTGATTAGCTAGTGACTGGTCACAGAAATGACTACACATCTGAGCTTTTCACAGTACTATATAGTGAACCAATAAAAAACTAAAATATAAATTACCTTAATGTTATCAATAAACTCTATATTCTCAAATCAGCTAAGCTACCAACAATAAGTCGTTATATATCACAATGCTATATGGCGAAAAAATGGGTGGATTCTTACCCTCAACTTTAGCACCACGGATAGCTACGGGCCCCGTTCAGACGGACGAGTTCGTCCATGGTCGGAACAGAGGAGGGGGAGAGAGACAGCTGCGAGGCGCTACTCATACTCCATGTTGTAAAACCATACCATTAACCGTGGTGTGAGAGGTATTAAGAGTCAATGCTGGCGAAGGGGCTGCGGTCTGAAGGTCATCGTAAAAATACAATTAATTAAGAACAGATGTGATTCCGGACATACAATACCCTGGTGTCTACAAACTAAGTTGCCTCTGTGGTAGTAGTTACATTGGAGAAACCAAACGCCATATCTCGGACCGCATTCGTGAACATAAAGCAGACCTTAAACACGGTAGGACCAACACCTCGGCCGTAGCAGATCATTGTTCTAATTCAGTAGGCTCACATGCCATTGACTTTTCCAAGACGGAGGTTCTTTGTAAGCCATCTGGCTTCCATGAGAGATTCGTTCATGAGGCTATCCACATATACAAGCACAGAGACAATTTCAACCGAGAAGATGGATTCTATCTTAGCAATCATTGGAAAGATTTGATAAATCTTTTCAGTTCTTGATTGATTGTTCACGCTTACAGTGGCTTTCAGACAGCATACATAAAAACAAATTTCGTCTCCCCCCTCCTCTTTTCAAAAAATAGATGGACTAGTCCTGGGCAAACTGCCAATCGTTGCGCGTGACGCAAACGGTTTTTTATATATATAAATATAAATAAATAAATATGCCGTTTTCGAAATAAATTTATGCAAACCGACACACCTGATGATGACCGTTTGAGTTATGGTCGAAACGTCGTGAGAATTTTTTATTGTTTTATATATATTTTGTTATTTTGTTGTTTCTCTTCAACGTGACTTTACCGAAAAAACTAAGAATATGAATTACTGCAGTCACGAAAGCTTTAAATCAAAATCTTTCCAGTGGTTACTAAGCCAGAATCCATCTTCTCGGTTGAAATTGTCTCTGTGCTTGTATATGTGAATGGCCTCATGAACGAATCTCTCATGGTAGCCGGTTGGTTTGCAAAGAACCTCCGTCTTGGAGAAGTCAATGTCATGTGAGCCCACTGAATTATAACAGTGATCTGCCACGGCAGAGGAGTTCGTCCTACCGTGTTTCAAGTCTGCTTTATGTTCGCGGATGCGGTCCGAGATATGTCTTTTGGTTTCTCCAATGTAGCTACTACCAGAGAGGCACTTTAGTTTGTAAACGCCCGGGTACTGTATGTCTGGAACAGCATCTTTTACAGATGGAACTAAATCACGAATTTTATGTACTGTGTTGAATCGGACCTGGATCTTGTGTTTATTCAGGATTTTGGAGATCTTTTTAGTGACCCCTGCAATGTAGGGTAAGGTGATCGTTTTGAGTGGCTCCACAAGAGGATCCTTCTTCATGACTGGAGTGATGGCTTTGCGGATTGTGTAGTCGGAGTCGCCATTAGCCCTGAGAGCCTGGTGTACGTGATTGAGTTCACTGGTAATGTGTTCCTGGTCGGAAATGCATTGGGCTCTATGGTATAGAGTCTTGATGAGGGAGTTCTTCTGGGATGGATGGTGGTGGGAATCCGGTTTCAAGTAAGCATCTGTATGGGTAGCTTTCCTGTAGACAGAGTTCACTATATAGTACTGTGAATAGCTCAGATATAGCTCAGATGTGTAGTCATTTCTGTGACCAGTCGCTAGCTAATCACTCAGTTATTTCAATGCTAAATTCGCCTAGTTATTTCAATGCTAAATTCTCCTGTTTGATTTGTACTAAGTGCCTCGGTGAATGTGTATGCTCTGACTTTAACGTAGCTATTTCTGTGAGCAGTTACAAGCTAATCACTCAGCTATTTCAATGCTAAATTCTATGCTAATTCCATTGTCAAGGGGTGCCTCTGCGGATGTGTATGCCTTAACTTAGCTATTTCAATGCTAAATTCTATGCTAATTCCTTTAACAATGGGTGCCTCTGCGGATGTATATGCTTTAACTTTTAACATTGCTATTTCTGTGACCAGTCACAAGCTAATCATTCAGCCATTTCAATGCTAAATTATATGCTAATTCCTTTGTCAAGGCGCTTTGTTCCTCTCACACAGCTTAAAAGCCGTGATCTGAACGTGGCTCTTTCACTCCAGCGCTGTCCTACCAGACAGTCTCGTCCCTTCACCTGATGAAGGCCGCTTGTGTTGTGGCCGAAACGTCGTGAGAATATTATTGTGTTATTTTATTTTATCAATTTATTATTTTATTCTCATTCTACGTGACTTTACCGAAAGAACCAAAGAAGATGAATCATTGCAGTCACGAAAGCTTTAAATCGAAACTACCCACATACATATTCTTAGTTTTTTCGGTAAAGTCACGTTGAAGAGAAACAACAAAATAACAAAATATATATAAAACAATAAAAAATTCTCACGACGTTTCGACCATAACTCAAACGGTCATCATCAGGTGTGTCGGTTTGCATAAATTTATTTTGAAAACGGCATATTTATTTATATATATAAAAATAACGTTTGCGTCACGCGCAACGATTGGCTGAGAGATTCGTTCATGAGGCTATCCACATATACAAACACAGAGACAATTTCAACCGAGAAGATGGATTCTATCTTAGCAATCATTGGAAAGATTTGATAAATCATTTCAGTTCTTGATTGATTGTTCACGCTTACAGTGGCTTTCAGACAGCATACATAAAAACAAATTTCGTCTCCCCCCTCCTCTTTTAAAAAAAATAGATGGACTAGTCCTGGCAAACAGCCAATCGTTGCGCGTGACGCAAACGTTATTTATATATATAAATATGCCGTTTTCAAAATAAATTTATGCAAACCGACACACCTGATGATGACCGTTTGAGTTATGGTCGAAACGTCGTGAGAATTTTTTATTGTTTTATATATATTTTGTTATTTTGTTGTTTCTCTTCAACGTGACTTTACCGAAAAAACTAAGAATATGAATTACTGCAGTCACGAAAGCTTTAAATCAAAATTTACCCACATACACTCAAACACTCCTCACCCGTGCACCTCGCACGCCGAATCACAACTAACGTGACTTTAACCACATGCCTACCACCCACCAGTATCACCATCGATGTTGTTGTTGAGACACTCACCATTAACAATTCTCTTCAGACAAACCATTCCCTCAAAACGCATCAATATCCATGCACAGCATTAACACAGGAGGGTGTAACGATGTTTAAACACACAGTAGACACACACAAACACCTGTCCCACGGAACCGTCTGCATTTACCACACGTCATGGAAACAAAAACTGCTTTGATGATGATGTTAATGATGATGATGTGTGCATTGAACTTGAGACTCTTTGGCCTGCACCAGAGACGGCCTAAGGCTCTGGTTGATCAGTTAAATCTTTAAGTGCTCTGATGCTTGGCACTCTGATTGCTGTTCACCTGCTGACCGTCTTCTCTGGTCTACTAACACCGCTGGGGCAGCCACGAGGCCACAGAGGAAGCCTCTAGCTGCTGGTATAGTAACATGATGATGATGATTATTATTGGTATCAGAACCATTGTCTGTGTGGATGTGTTACCACAACTACTTTGTGTAGCTAATGCAAGACTTGACGATGCCTTGCAATAGACGTGTTGTGTGTGTGTCTATTGGGTCGTTTGAATATCAAAACACCACTCCCGTTAAATTGTCAAAAACAGTACAGCTTATTTTATTGTTGTTTCATGCACAAAGTTTCGCGTGAATGAGTGTTGCTGTTTATGGTCTGCATGTTTAATACCTGTATCTGTAATGGCTGTATATTTAATGGGTGTATCTTTAACGGCTGTATCTTTAATGCCTGTATCTTTAATGGCTGCATCTATAATGCAAAAGCACACGCACATTTTTTCTGGTGTCTACGTATTTATTGTTTTAGTTGTTTTAGTTATATTCAGTATTTACGTGCATGTGTGTACACATCCATACATGTTGTTTACATGTGGGGAGCGGTGGCATAGCTGTTACCGTATATACGCTGCGCGAACAAACCCAGCGGCCCGAGTTCCATCCTGTTCACGGCATTCACGTCAACTTCCACCATCAAAAGGGCCCCGAGCCTTCCCCCCCCCCCGATCCTCTTCCCCTCTCTCTTTCCCACTCTCTCTCTCTCTCCCTCGTGTCTCTCCAACCAATCACGTCTCTCCTCCCGTCGTTCCTCGTCACCACCTCTTCTCATCTCCCATTGGCTGGGCGCGCCTTCTGACCTCTTACCTTCCGCGTCGGGAGGTTATGTCTGACATCATTCGTCTCCCTCTGCCAACGGCGAGCGAGCTTATTCGTAGGTGCGGTCTTTCAGCCAATAGGGAGCCGTGTTGCTGTTCAGCTCTGCGGTCCACACAATGCTCACGCTTGTGTCTGGCTGCCTCTCTGTTAGTGCAGCTAAGTGCTTTACACTAGTAATGAATTGGCATGTTCTTTTTACGTGACAAACCTTACTAATTTGTATATTTACGCGATCTAACCCAAAAAACACTTGTATTATGGATGATGTTTATCACTAAAGCCTTCGACGTGTTAAACAGAATGAAATATATATTATTTGGGTCTTTCAGCTTTACCACTATACCCAAAGAATATGAATTTCTGCAGTCACGAAAGCTTTAAGTCAAAAATGAAAGATGTTGACGACATCGAACGTAGACATATCTTGCCACGACTACAGAAGCCCTGGCCGCAGTTAATTTAAAATCGCTCTGAACTTTACAATTTGCATTCCTGTCAATGCAATTTACTTAGCCACAGTTATCCATTAGATCCTAGAGAAGAATAAACTAACTAACATCCTCGCAACACAACGCCTCGGCTTATTAATACTTGACAAAGACTACTTTTAGTGCTCCGAGAATGCATTTAGGATAGCGTATTTTTACAATTCCTATTATGATGGAATATCTGTTGGACTAACGTAGAATTTCTCTGTGGCTTGTGTAAAACTCTTAGGTGGATTGCAAGCGGCCTGAACCCCAAAGTTCATCTGCCTGACGATGTCGGCTTGCCTTACTCCTGCTACCTCTTAAACACTAGGTGAGTAGTCAATGGGAAATTCTTTGGTCAACGAAGTCATTTATGTGTGGCTGTTATGATGCACAACAACGATGCACTGTGCCAAGGCGGATCATAGGTGGGCTGAGGGGTGAGCGAGTGAGTGGGTGGGTGAGTGAGTAGGTGGGTGAGTGAGTGGATAAATTGGTCAGTAAGTGGTTGGGTGGGTGAGTGAGTCAGTGGGTGGGTGAGTGAGTGCTTGGTGGGTTTCAGTTTTCAGTTTCATTTATTAGGATTTACCCTCTGCGCCATTCGGCTCTTGATTTGGGTTCAACCGCAACAAACAATAAAATTACAAGATACACCTAAAATTCATTGTACACAAATCTAAACGTCACCACGTAAACAATAAAATTACAAGATACACCTAAAATTCATTGTACACAAATCTAAACGTCACCACATAAACAATAAATTACAAGATACACTTAAAATTCATTGTACACAAATCTAAACGTCACCACGTAAACAATGAAATTACAAGATACACCTAAAATTCATCGAACACAAATCTAAACATCACCACGTAAACAATAAAATTACCAGATACACCTAAAATTAATTGTACACAAATCTAAACATCACCACGTAAACAATAAAATTACAAGATACACCTAAAATTCATCGTACACAAATCTAAACATCACCACGGAAACAATAAAATTACAAGATACACCTAAAATTTATTGTACACAAATCTAAACGTCACCACGTAAACAATAAAATTACAAGATACACCTAAAATTCATCGTACACAAATCTAAACGTCACAACGGAAACAATAAAATTACAAGATACACCTAAAATTTATTGTACACAAATCTAAACGTCACCACGTAAACAATAAAATTACAAGATACACCTACAATTCATTGTACACACATCCAAACATCACATCACGTAAACAATAAAATCCTACAGAAACAGCACAACCCGTCCATGCTGCGTACAAAAAGTGCGAAAAATTCCGTTTCGATGTTTGATCCCAATAAAAATCATAATACAATAAAGATCGAAATTTTAAGTATAAATGTATACTAAATAAAAAAAAATCGGGCCAAACCAAGCCCCTCTAAAACTTACTAAAACAATGCTATATAAACAACGTAACAGTTTTCCCAACAAATGTTATTTAAAGTTTACCATGAAGACACACACAACACACATCACTAAACCTAGCGTACAACACACATCACTAAACCTAGCACCCTTCGCTAGCTGCATAAGTCAACCCATAACAGCCGGATTAACAAGAGCAGTAGCAGCGCACTATAATCAAAATACATAATAAGTTCATACGTCGGTAATCTATAGCTATATTTTTAATTTCAGGCCACAGGATAGCAGTGGCAGCTATGGTTGTACGACTCCTCGAGAGCATTTTTGAGTGATTGTTTTGTTGGTAACGATCCAAGCTGGAGTGAGTAGGAAAGTTGGTCAGTGAGTGGGTGGGTGATTGGGTGCACGCTTTCCACGCCATAACGTGATAGTGATGGCGTTTCATAATAACGTAGCAGTTGTGTGGCTGTAAATAGAATGCCGATTCATAATTATGCATTGCTTGCCGGGTTTTGTGCAGTCATGTCAATGTTTGTGGTTGCTTGAAAATATATATTTAGAACAAAAGTAATAATTTGTTGGTCCCATCGGAGGGCCGATCAATGTCCATGCGAATAACGTTCACTTTGCCTCTGGCGTTCTGGGTGTTACAGACTGCCATTGCGGACTCGACATGGAGACTTCAGCAAAGCAAACAGATGGGCAGCCATCACAGGTAACTACAGGTCTTTGTTTGTATTCTCTCCGTATATTTATATAATCATGTTATCCATCACAGGTAACTACAGGTTTTTTGTGTTATCTCTACGTATATTTGTATAATGATGTTATCCATCATAGAGGCTGGTTGTTGTGATTCCTTGCGAAACGCCATGGTTACTCGAATGTGTTTTGTGGGTTTACCCTCCAACACACAACAACTGGTTAGTGCTAAACTAGTAACGAATTGGCACCACGTTTTGTTTCTGTGACAAACCCCTCACCGATTGGCTGTGGCGGCTGGTGGTAATGGTGGGTTAATCAACACATTTATATTTTCGTGATTTATCCCAAAAATACCCTCTTATGGATAATATTGGTTGCAAAAGCCCTGCTACTACTAGGATTTATTACACTGAATTTTACGTTAATTGACCGTTCAACACGTTTGCATTTTTTAGGCAAGTGGAAATATTGTCAAGAAAAAGGACGTGTACATGGAAGACGTCACCATAGTTCTACCGATTGTAAAGAATGGTGTCAGTGGCCTTGGTGAGCTCTGGAATTGTCATAGTTCTGAAACAATTCATCAAAACTTGTTCAAGAAACAACTCGAAAGTGAACACCTGATTTCCCACCCACTCAAGAAGCTTGAGTACAGCTTAACACACATCAAGGGAACCGAAGACCAAATCAGAATGTTCAGAGCCCATGGCTCCATGGGCCTGGAGCTGCTATGTGGGCTCATTAAAGTTGATGGATTGGCAGACTATAGCAATAAATCTGTGAGAAGCGTGAATGAAGAAAAACTAATCTGTCAGTACAATTTGGAAAACTTTTCAATCTCCTTGCTTCCAATAGCTAAAACGGAAATCGATGATCACGTACAGAGCCAGCTGATGAAAGGACGCATCAAAGCAACACACGTGGCATATGGGGTGATCTTGGGTGCGGAAGTGAACGCGCACGTACTGGTCACGCGGAATGAGACGAAAGCGAGCGATAGCATCAGCATCAGCGGCAGTGCGGTTGGGAAACTCGGTTTTGGCAAAGTAACGCCCTCTCTGAAAGCTCAGCTCGAGTGGTTGGACACGAGCGAGGCAAATGGCTACCGCACGCAGATCGACATTCACTCCAAGCCGCCAATGAAGCGGCAACCGTCCACGGTCAAGGAGATGTTTGAGTTGGTGGAAAATATCGACGTGTCTGTTGCCAATGAGCAGCATTACAAGTTCAGTGGCGCGAACATCATGGGAGTGCCGATTCGCTGGGTTCTTGTACCCATTGCGCAGTACCTGGACATTGACGTGGAGAAGCTCTACTTGCAGATCAGCGAGACTTTACTCTGCGACTTCAGAGCCATGCTCATCTCCCTGCAGGATTCTCGTCAGCCCGAATGCATTAAGAGACGAGTGCTTGAGAAAGAGCATCGTCTGCAGCGCGTCCTCTCGGACTCCAGCTCCCCACTCTCTCGAGACATTTCACAATACGAGAAGATACTAAACAAAAATGTCGAATCATTATTTATTTGTGCCTGTAAGGCTTTGAGAAACTATAAGCAGGCAGTAATCACATCCAGTGAGCTTCACACGATCACAGAAGAATATGAAATGTCTCACTTCAGCGCAGTTGACATATCCGCAAAGGTGGACAAATTCGTGATGGATGGAAAACACGAACTTGACGCAATCCATGAGAAAGATGCAACTCAAATGGAGGCTGAAATCTGCATCTTTACCAACCGTGCATTGTTGAACGAATGGATGAACACAGAGGCAAACATTAAAATATTGTTGCAGACAAAGGGTGATCCTTCCAGTGGAGTGTTCCATCGCCTCTTTAAAATCAGTCATGCACTGAAAGAGCAAAACATTGATGTGGGAATTGCACTGCCTTCCATCTCTGACAACTTCTCTCTTACAATTAAGGCTAGAGAACACCAAAAGTGTTATCAGGCGGCTGATATTCCACTCATCCTTCGGATTATCAGTGCCGCCGTGAACACAGACTCGTCAGCGGAGAATCAGTTTTACACGATCATGGCTTCACACTTCAACATCACTTTGCCGCTTCAGCCGAACGAACTTAAAGACCTTAATCGCCTGGTAGAATTATTGAGAATAGGAGATGTACATATTGCCTCCTCCTACATGGAATCTTTAGAGTGCCTCTGGAGTTGTGACTCTCAATGGATGTTTTTTGTACCAATCGATGCATTGGATACTGCGTATGAATCAATAGTCGGCCTTCGCGACAACTTGAAACGACTCGCCTGTGCCAATGGAAAGTGGGTGGTGGGTAGGCTGGACATTGCCAATCAGCACGAAGCGCCCTTATTGTTTGTCCTTCGTGACAAGAAAGTGAAAGCCATATGTCTAGACCATCTGGACATTATGATTCTTGTTGATCTCTTCAACAAAGCGGCAACCTCTGAACACAATGAGCCCGATTTGTCCGACCTGTCACCAGAGTCCTTGAAGTGTTCTATCTATCACAACAGAGCCACTTACGCAGTGAAGACCATGGAACTCATGCATCAAGCAAATAATTCTGAGGACAATTATAGTAACATAAGGATGCAGT